ATAACGCTAGGAATCGATAAAGCAATCGATTTAAAGCAAAAAGTATCTTATGAACATTTTTCGATAAGTCAATATTAATTAAATTAGTAGTGATTGAAAATTTACATATTTTATTTAAAAAAAGACGTTTTCAGTAGTTTTTCTCGAATAACTCGGAAAATAGACATTCTATGAAAAAAACACATCACGAAGAAAGTGATGCTTATAGAAAAAGAAAAATATTGAGTTTTTTTTTATTTATGTAGGTGCAATAGGTGCTGAGATACTGCTGGTTGAAGATAATTTCATGTCCGCCAGAAACTAAATGGAAGCGTTTATCGTAAAATGACTAAAAAAAAATATATTTTTCAAGAAAAATACACAGAACAAGTACTTTAAAAAATCTTTAAAATTAACTTGACTGATTAGCATAAAAATTAACAGTTGTGATCAAAATAAAACTGTTAATTCGCATTTTCGGGAAAAAAATCAGTACAAAAACTGATGAATTTTTCACGAGATTTAAAATTAAAAGCAGTCCTTATACAATTTACATTTTTTTATGTGCTAACAATATATTATACAAGTTTAAGCGGTTTAGAATGCATATTTTTAAAAATATTACGTTTTGATTGAAAAAATTGTAAATTATTTATAATATCATAATATACCAATAATAACTATTGAAAAGATTTCTATCTATAATTCGGTGAGCGGCAAAAGTATGGAATATATTTATTTAAAAATCAGATGTTCGTTATTTGAAAAATCGCTCGGACCCGTCGGATTATATTTTCAGTTGCGCATTTTCTGAAGCAATTTTCAATTTATACAGGGTGGCCCAAAAAAAGTTATGAAATCAAGGCCAACTTTTTTAAATGGAAACCCCACTTTTTTGTATTTTTATTCAATTCTCCATGGAATTCTGAAATCTGAATCAATCTGAAGCTATTCGGAGGTTTTACTCTATTTTTCTCTTCGTTCCCTGGACTATGTATGATATTATGAAGAAGCATGAATACGAATCCAGAAAAAATTTATTTTTGTTAGAGAGATATTTGTCAGGAGAAAAAGATGCTGTTGCAATACGAGCGCCAAATAAGAATCGTATATCTATGGAGATTTTTGGCTTTTTGGCTTTCAAATATTACTAGAAATGAAAATTTTTCTATGCGCATAAAAAAAAACGAAGGCTTAACTTTTGGCGGCACAATATGTTAAGAAAATTCGAAAAATGTCATATTTTTCTTCCTATTTAATTATGTATCTTTTCAAGAGTTGATTTTAGGCGAAAATGGAAGAGGAAAAAAATGTTTGTAATTAAATTTTACATAATATGACTAGTTACAAATCGAATGAATCATGATTATTATTGTAAAAATCGAAAAAATCGCCAAAAATGGGGTTAAAAATCATTACTTTTTAGGGATTTTTTTTTGGAGTCTTTATGTTGTGTATAGGACCTTCATACTTAGCTCAAGAAAAGTTCATGTTATGTAGAATCATCACACCAAATTTCATCAAAATCGGTTCCATAGATTTTGCATAATAATTTTGCAATCCAGATTTTGAAAAAAAATTGCAAATTTTCAAAATTTTGCACAGCAAAAACCAAGATCCTTAGATACTTGAAAATTTAATCACATATAGAAGGGCTCTCAGGCTTTCATACGCTTTAGGAGAGCTCTGGCGCTTGTTTAAACATTGAATTTTTGTACTTATAAACAATTAGAATAACTTTGTGAATATTCAATCAAATCAAATTTTTTAAAGCAGGTTTTAAAAGTTATGGGAAAAACGCTTCTTTAAAAAAAAAAAGAACAGATCGATTGGTCAATTATGTAGTTACGTAGTTATAGCAGATCAAAGTTAACCTTCATTTACACTAAATATACTGGGACATCCGGGCTAATTTTTCGAAAAATACCTTTGGTATTCCGAGTACTTACCAGGTCTAAGTGTGCAATACTTTTCTTCATTGGCAACCTACTTTAAAACGCGTTTAAAGGTATTTATGCAAGCGAGAAATTCAAGAAAATGGTACGGGAGGTGGTGGTGGGGGGAGCAGAGAACGCGGCCGCTTCGGCCTGCTCGAAATTGAATGGCGAGTTCAAAACCGCGACGCGCTTAAAAATTTTTTAATATCAGCTTCTAGAGGTTCAATTTTGATGATTTTTTTTAAATCGATGTCTCGCGATTTAAAAAAACAATTAGCGTATTTTCAAATGCCTATCGTTAATAACACAGGCCGACAAAATTTCAAAAAAAAAAAGTTCCAGAAATCAGACACTATGCTTCCGAAGGCATTTGGCGCGCTGAATCCGAATCTGGCCTCCAGAATTGATCCATCACCCTAGGTTTCCGAGATATTCTAACCTAAAAGTGTAAAAAACACGTACTTTTACTATATTCAAGGTTATGTAACTTGGCGAAAAAATTTTTTTTCTCAAAACTGAAAACATCATTGGAAACGACTATCTTTCCCCTTCAAAACGCATTGTTTTATTTGGAAAAAGCTCTATTTTTCGCGGAGATATCGTCAATTTAAGATGACCAGTATGGCTATATTATTACATCACGGCTAACCCCATAACACTGAGCGCTGCTAGCCCTAATTGTTAGGAACGTTAACCCCAAGCCCTATAACCCCACAACACTAAGCGGAGCGAGCCCTCATCGTCAGGAAGGTTAACTTCAAGCCCTATAACCCAATAACACTAAGCGCTGCGAGCCCTAATCGTCAGGAAGGTTAACCCCAAGCCCTATATGTCTGGAAGGTTAATCCCAAGCCCTATAACCCCACAACACTAAGCGCTGTGAGCCCTAATCGTCAGGAAGGTTAACTTCAAGCCCTATTACCCAATAAC